TTCAAAATTTGTAGATACTGACAGGCATATGCAGAATAGATAAACAAGATTATACTGTGTAGCACAGGGAAATATATACAAGATCTTGCGGTAGCTCACTGCAAAAAAAATGTGACAATGAATATATGTATGTTCATGTACAACTGAAAAATTGTGCTCTACACTGGAATTTGACACGACATTGTAAACTGACTATAACTCAATAAAAAAATGTTAAAAGAAAAAAGAAAGAACAGACAAATCCAAAAGGTAGTTTTTTTTTTTTTTAAAGAGGAAGAAAATAGGTAAGACTCCTTCCCGAGCCTGAAAACGGAAAAGAGAGAAAGAGCAGCATCACAGCCATGCGGAAACGAGACGGGAGACACAGTCACACACACAAGGAGATACTGAGATGAATATAAGTGTAAAACAATTACCCCACAAGCAATCTGTGGCCATACGTTTGGAAACAGAGAGGAAACTACTGATTTCCTGGCAAAATACAAATTCCCCAAACTAATCCAAGAATGGAAAACTTAGAGTGATTACCACTGAAGAGAGTAGAAACTTAACAAACCCTAACTAAAAATATGACCTTGGCTGACAATCCTTTGAGACTTGCCATCTTTCTCAAGATGAAAACCTAAACCCTGGCTTGCGAGTCTCTCCCCAACCTGCCCTGCTCTGAAGCCTCATCTCCCAGGGCTCGCCCCTCTCCTCCCCTATGGGGGCCCAGCCATCTGCAGGGTCTCCCAGTCTTCAGGCTGCCCCCTCTTCAGGTCCATGTCCCTCTAAACGGAGCATCCATCACTTGCCTCGGCCAAGGGGACAGCGGTTCATCCTCGTCCTTCCCATCCCCGCCCAGTGTCCCCGCACAGGGTCCGTGGCACCCTCTCCCTCCTTGTGGACAAGCCCATTTCCACATCTTTCAGTGACTTCCAGTTTCACTCCCTGTAACTCTCTGTGAGGCCCCCGAGCTGCATCTGTTCCCCACTTCAACTGCCATGCTTGGCACCTTTTCCAGGATGTGGTAGAGATGCTCAATAAACGTTATTCAATAAATCAACAAATTACTCAATATATATGACAGGCAGTAACCTTTATCATAATATAAAGTATTTAATATGTGGGGGAGGGTATAGCTCAAGGGGTAGAGCACATGCTTAGCATGCACAAGGTCCTGGGTTCAACCCCCAGTACCTCCTCCAAAAGTAAGTAAATAAATAGACCTAATTACCTCCCCTTCTCCTGGCCAAAGAAAAAAAATTTTTTTAATATCATATGCTATCACTTATATGTGGAATCTAAAAAATGATACAAATGAACTTATTTACAAAACAGTAAGAAACAGACCCACAGACATAGAAAAGAAACTTATGGTTACCAAAGGGAAAAGTAGAGGAAGGAGGGATAAATTAGGAGTTTGGGATGAGAAGATACTGACTACTTTACATAAAATAGGTAAACTACAAGGTCCTATAGTATAACACAGGGAATTATATTCAGTACCTTGTAATAACCTATAATGAAAAAGAATAGATGTCTACCTGTGTAACTGAATCACTTTGCTGTACACCTGAAACTAACACAACATTATACATCAACTATCCATCAGTTAACGTAAATAAAGAAGCAAAAAGTAAAATATTTGATATTTAAATGGTAGGCTTTTGTGCTACTGAAATCTAGTATAATCATAAAAGTTTAATAATTTTGCAGAAACACATTAATTATAGAGTTAATTATAACTTAAACACAGAGAGTTGTTAACTCTTTGCAGGATACTTAGACCCAAATCCTGACAACAGGCTGCCTCGACTCTAAATTCAACAGCTGCTCCACTCTGAAAAGAGGGCTTCCCTCCCCTAATTCTGTACCAGATAACGAAGTGATGACAGACAGGTCTTCCAACTGCACGGAAAGGAAGAACGCCATGCTTCACCTTCTAATTGTCTCTGCAGTGTGTCCAAGAGGCTAAAGGTCCGGCCCCAAACAGGACGAGAATGAGACCCACATGGCCCGCCCCACCCTCGGTCTCTGACCCGTCCTGGGTCAGGCAGAGCAGCTGATGGACCGCAGAGCTCCGTTTTCCTGCAGGTGGCCCGCTGCCAGCTTCCTGGGGAGCTGGCATTATGCCTGCGAGTGGTGCCACTCCAAAACAGGATGGCAAGCGGGAACCGCACAGTCAGAGGACCCGGTCAGAAGGGCATCCCTCATGTTCAGTTAGAGATGAAGGTATGTGACCTGAGAGCCCCGCACGTCATTTGTTTAATGGACTTCTGTTAAGTGTGCGCCTGTCCTTCCTCTGTGATTTTACACCATTCTGCTATTCTGCCAGGTTATGATGGTGTTCAACTGGCCAATGCAGAGTTCTCAAACAAAAATGCCATAGCATTTTCCTGCAAAAGCCAAAGTGCTATTTCATGAAATATTAAGAAAACATAAAATAGGGTGGAGGGTATAGCTCAGTGGTAGAGCACATGCTTAGTATGTGTGAAGTCCTGAATTCAATCCCCAGGACCTCC